CTTTCTTTCTTTCTTTCTTTCTTTCTTTCTTTCTTTCTTTCTTTCTTCTTCTTTCTTCCTTCTCCCTTCTTTCCTTCTCTATTTCTTTCCTGTCATTTTGAGGGTTTTGTATGGGGTGGGGAGACTGGAATATATGCTCTGTTTACCTCCCTAAAAGCAGAAATCTGACTTTTACAGTTCTATCACATACCTGACAGTTTGGGTCTCACCCACCCGCTCCCCACAACTTATCAGATATTTCAGATCCATGGTTAGACATAACTGTGGAGCACTGGCTTTTTAATGACTTACTGGGGAATATGCCATGCTTGTGGAATCCCCAGAGGAGTCCTCTTCTCTGAGACGTCTGAGGGAACAGTAGGTGCTGGCTAGGGAAAGAAGGTCGGCAGTTGGCTGGTGGATGCTGTAGGAGCTGGGAAAAGCATGAGCAAAAATGTGGACATATATGATAGAGTGTGCTGTGGTGGCTTTGTGGAGATCAAAGCAGAAAGAACAAAGTGTGGTGGGAGTCCCAGAAAGAGGCATCTCTTTGAAGAGAAGCCATAACACTACTGCCATATGTTTTAGACATGAGACAATGACAGTCCTGTCCCGCAGATAGTGGGGCCTGGAGAGAACAGAGTCTGCGGCCTGTAGTCCAGTAGTCTCTCTTCTGGCCCAACAGCCCAGCAGTGGCTCAGGTGTGAGCTGATGTTTCTTGACCTTGACCATTGCTAATTTCTTGTGAAGGATGCTTTAGTCTCAGGGCCCCTCACTCACACAGCACCCTTCCAAGGCTCTGGGAGAGTGGGAAGAACCCTGATTAGGTGTTTACATGGTCATATGTCTCCCTTAAAGTATGAAAAAGTAAGACATTTTATGGTATTACTTTAAAAGCATGCCAAAATTATATAAGCTTTGAGCCCCACAGAACTGAATTCTGCCCCTAAATGAAGGACCTAGTTCCAATTAGCAGAGAAGTTGGTTAATAATCAAGCTGGAGAAAAAAACATGAAAGATTATTCCACGTAGGGAAGACACACTACAGGTGAGCAGCCTTGGCTCTGAGAAAGTGAAGTTTAAAAAGATCAGATGGTCTTAGCGGATGGTCTTAGGCCAAACTTCTTGACAGTGATGTTCAAGGCTAAAGGATGAAAGACAACAGCAATGACTGATGATATGTATGTGATGTTTTTGGCCATTTTGCAGGACCAGGCAGTTAAATGGCACCTGTACCAGCTCGGTGGACATGGAGCTCTTCCTTCATTACTCCCTCATCCCATCAGTAAGTAAAGGCAGGGGAAGGATGAGGAGGACAGGAAAGGGCTGCTGCCAAACACAGACTCCCAAAGAGACCTGAATAGGTCAGAGGAGAGAGATCACCTGAGTTTCCTTCTAAAATTTCTTATACTATATACCAAAAATATGGCAGAAGAAGGCTTTGCGGGCCCAAGAATCAGGCCTCTGGACTTTTAGGAGAGTCAAACAGTCTTTTCCAATGAAGTAATGATGGCTCTGAGGTCAGTTGGAAGATACAGTTAAGGATATTGCAGACAGAAGGGGAGAGCACATGTAGAGGCTCTGGGGCGGGAGGGAGAAGGCAGAGTGGGAAGAGCTGAGAAGTTCAGCCATGACTGGGGTGAAGAATTGAGGCAGAGAGGTCTGGGGAGGTGGGTGGGGCAGACCAGGCAGAGCCCTATGGGGCTCTGTGTTAAGTTTTGCCTTCATTCTAAGTACAGTAGGAAATAATGGAAGTGTTTCCAGCATGAAGGTGGCGTGATCAGATTTATGTTTTTAAATGATGTCTCTGGTTGCAATGTGGAGATCGAGTTGGAGGTGGGCAAGAGATGAGGCAGGAACACCAATTGGGAGACTTGCAGGGATCCAGGTGAGACGTGATTTTATCACATCCTAGATGATGATGTCAACTCCGGAAGTTCAAGAGGTGAAAACAATAGGAATTGTAATGGGCTGGATAGGAAGGTTAGGGAGAGGGGGAGGTTGAGGATGACTTAGGTTTCTAACTTGCACAACTGAAAGGATGATGGTAGCTGCCATTTACTCATTAAGGAACATTAGAAGAGATCCAGGTTTAGGGCAGACATAAGACATACTTGGCCAGGCACAGCAGCTCATGCCTGTAATCCCAGCACTTTGGGAGGCCGAAGCAGGCAGATCACTTGAGTCTAGGAGTTTGAGAACAGGATGGGCAACATGGCAAAACCTCATCTCTACAAAAAATTAGCAGGGGGTGGTGGCACGTGCCTGTGGTCCCAGCTACTCAGGAGGCTGAGATGGGAGGATCCCCTGAGCCTGGGAGTTTGAGGCTGCAGTCAGCCGTGATCGTGCTACTGCACTCCAGCCTGGGTGACAAAGTGAGACCCTGTCTCAAAAAAAAGACGCATACTGAAACTTTTGATAAAAGCTTTGAGAAGCTTTCAGTACATTAAAAAGAATTATCAACTGTGTAGTTGGTTAAATAGTTTCGGAGCTCATAGACAAGGTCCGGGCTGGAGATTCAAATTTAAGTCTTCTGGGTGTTTATTGTCATTGAAACAAGGACATGAGGCTAGGCACAACGGCTCACACCTGTAATCCCAGTGCTTTGGGAGGCCACGGTGGGAGGATCACTTGAGGCCAGGACTTTGAGACCGGCCTGGGCGACATAAATGAGATCACCAGAGAAGATCAGGTAAGATGAGTAGCCCTTGGACTGAGCTGTAAGGAACTCTGCAGCGAGGGCTGGGGTAAAGAGTGATCCGGCAGAGGATGCTGAGAAATAATGGGGAAAAATCAAGAAAGCATGGTTGATGAAGGCCTAGGGAAGAGAGTACTCAAAGAGGAGGGAATGGTCAACACTGTAGAATGCTGCTGAGAGATCAAGCTAGATTTGGACTTCAAGTATACATGGGACCAAGCCACAAAATGATCATCAATGACTTTGGCCATAGCTGTTTCAGCAGAGTGATGAGGGTAGAAGCCAAGTTTGGGGTTGAGGAGCCAGTGAGAGGTAAGGGAATGGAGACACAAGTATAGACAATTCTCAAGAAGTTTCTGATAAAGGCAGGAGAGAGAAAGAGCATCACGTTTGTGAGAACATGACTGAATCCACAGAAAAGCAGCAAAGAAGGCTTTGCAAACTGGTAGTTATTACTGCCTTTTGACAGATGAGGAAACGGAGGTACAGGAAAGTTAAATCTCCCTCTCAACTAGGATGTGAGAGAGACCAGATTTGAACCTACATCTGTTCAGGGCAACAAAAAGGAAAACTCAGTACAGAACATTCTGGTAGCTCAAGGATACATGCAGTCAGCCCCCTGGCTCTGGAGTTTGAGGTGTCACTAATGTTCTGTGCACTCTGCTAACCCACACATTTGTTTTCAGGGAGGGCTCAGAGGCCATGCTGAGGATGAACATGCCCACTAACTCTCGTCTTTTCTTCTTACAGCTCTTCATCATTTTGATCTTGTCCTTCCTCCAAAGACGAGAGCATCGTAGACAGAGAGATGATACCTCTTACCTGCTGGGTAACCGCTTTGGCATTATCATGTGAGTTGAGTCAACCCCTACAGCTTGGGGTACCCTGTGGTTGGAGCCAATGCCAATTATGAAGTCAGATAGCTACCAGGACCTCTTCTCCACCTCTACCCCACTGTGCACAGCCCTGCCTCTCCACGCCCCAACCCAACCAAAGGTCTCGGAGTTCAGAATTAGTTTCCAAGCCATTGCAGCTATCAGCACCCAGGGCTGCTCAAATATGGGCTTAAATCATCTCACAGAGACTCAGCCTACTATAGAAAAGACCTTCCCACACTTGAGACTGGCTACCTCAGGAGGCGGGAGGGAGAGAGCTCCCTGTGACTAGAGACAGCAAAGCTTCTTGTTAGGGTGGCACCATGGGTCATGCACCAGGAGAGCTTTCAGAGCTTTTCTAGCTCTGTCATTTTGAGTCTCTGCAGCTCATATCACATTCTTCCTTGAGTTCTGATTGTTCGTATCTCTGTTTCATCACTTCTTGTCATCATCTTCATCATCATGCAGTTAACATTTATTGCACACCATCTGTGACCCAAGCACTGAAACATTTGATTTGCCTACGTTATTCTAACAAATCCTCTTGCCAATCTAGCATGGTAGAAGTTGTTATCCTCATGCAAGGAATGAGAAAACTCAAGCTCAGAGAGGTTAAGTGACCTACCCACGGCCACGCAGCTAACAAGTGGCAAGAGCTTTAGCCCAGATCAGCCTTATATTCTTTTGAATCCCTCTAGTGTTATAACTTGAGTAGGCTCAAGCTGTGGACGTGCTGAGGTCTCAGCCAAGGGCTCTGGAGAAGAGAGAGAAAGCACAGATGTCAGAACTGAGGCAAGGGGTGACCTGAGCTGCAGGTGAAAGATTCATTCTGGATACCACCCATTGGGGCAGTCCACACTTTACAAGCTGCCAGGTCTGAGACCCATGGGTTGAGGCATAGAAAGAGACTGAACTGGTGGATAAAGACCTTCAGTTCTGCCCTAGGCATTTAACATGTAGGGGCTGGCACAGGACTTTATAAAAAGTAGGAGGTCTATAGCAGTTACATTCAACTACTTTGAATTACATTGATAATGACACAATTGACTTGCTCCCTGGCTACTTTCCCACCTAAACCCCTGCTTGTCTGATAATTTTGACTCACTATCTTCTCTGAGCAATAACCCCTCACATGTGTGTGGCACTCTGCAGGTGATAGAGCAGTTCATCATTTGCTGTCCACAATGACTGTGATAGGGGCAGAGTAGAGTATTCTATCTCTGTTTTAAAGATGAGGAAACTGAGTCTCACATAGCTCTTAAGTACTATGGCTGGGATCTTGATTACAATTCGATTCAATTAAACAAAATGCATGTCCACAAACCTGCACTAAGTGCCTACTCTTTCCAAGGTCTAGTACTAGGTCCCCACCCCAAAGGGGTTTATAGTTTACTAAACAAATGGAGAGCCACGGTTATAGGGAAGCAGAAATTCTAAGTCAGAGAGGAAATAATATGACAGACATAGACCCTGTCTCAGAAGGGTCTGGTGTGGTGGCGCCTACCTGTAGTCCCAGGTACTTGGGAGGCTAAGGTGGGAGGATCGCTTGAGCTCAGGAGGTTGAGGCTGCAGTGAGCCAAAATTATACCATTATACTCCAGCCTGGGTGACAGAGGTATGCTGAACAGGGACATGAACTTAATGCTGAGGGGACACAGATGGGGTAGCCTCACTGGTGGTGGGTGAACAGGGAGGTTTCCTGGAAGGTGTGCTCCTTCTGCTGAGCCTCAAAGGTGAAGGTGAATGAGCCAATGAGACTCCCTGCCTGCAGTGCCTGGCTTTCCTTTCCCTCCTGAGTTTTCATTAAGGCCCATTTAAATGGCCCTTTTCATTCAAAGAGACCTTTTCCTTCCCCCAAATGCAACTGTTTCCTCTGACCTTTACAAAGCTGTCTTGGTTAGAAGAAACAAATATTCACTCAAGCTTGTTTACATTAAAGGAAAAGAAAGGATTTTTAAATTTTTTTATTATTTATTTATTTATTTATTTATTTTTGAGACGGGGTCTAGCTCTGTCAGCCAGGTTGGAGTATAATGACATAATTTTGGCTCACTGCAGCCTCCAACCTCTTGGGCCCAGGTCATCCTCCCAGCTTAGCCTCCTGAGTACCTGGGACTACAGGTGGGCACCACAACACCTGGCTAATTTTTGTGTTTTGTAGAAACAGGGTTTCTTGTTGTTTCGTGTTGCCCAGTCTGGTCTCAAGCTCCTGGGTTCAAGCAATTCACTTATCTTGGCCTCCCAAAGTGCTGGGATTACAGATGTGAGCCACTGCACCTGGTGACAAAGGATTCCTTTTTTTCTTTTCTTTTTTTTTTTTTTTTTTTTTTACGAAGTTAGAGGTCTCACATAAACCAACAGAACAGGCCTCATGGGAACTGGATCTCTTGAGATAGGAATCTGTGGGAGACTGATTTTGTCTCTCTCTTTCTGCCCCTCTGTGTCACTGGTGCCTCCTCAGCATCATTCTGCCATTTTCCCCTCTGACTTAGAATCTCTGCTTCCCTGTAACCTTGGCTCTCCTCTGGCATTGACTGTGATCCCAACTTTTTATGACTTTCCAGACAAGTACTTTAACAGCTAACTTGTTCGTTTCCTTAGGGTCACAGATTCAAAATATAAGATCAGATATCTGATCAGCCCATCCAAAGACAGGCCCATAGTCTAGTCAACTGTGGCTAGGAAGGCATGATTATGTAGGGGAGGCAAAATTATCTCTCTTATTTTTTTCAGCTGGGCCTGATAATTAAATTGACATAAGACAATAGGAGAAAAGTATACACATTTATTTAATGTAAGTTTTATGTGACACAGGAGCACTTATGGTGAAGACCCAAACGTACAGTTAGAGTGAAATATGTACACATGGAATTAGACAAAGAATAGTTAAGTTGTGAAAAAGTAACTAAGTTGTACGGGGAGACTAGAAGACAAGAGTTATTTAAATAAAGTCTGTACCAAATTCTCTTGGCCTCAACTTCCTGTCCCTGATGATAATAATGTTATTTCTGTATAGGGAGAGCATTTTTTGCATAGAAATTTCATCTCCTGTTTTTAAGAAATAGCATGAGGGTCAAAGTGATCTTCTTGTACCTGCTGTTTTTTAAATGTCTTTAACTCAAAATAACTGATATGCCAGAGTGACATATTTTAGGGTGCCTATTATTTACTTCTTCAAGCACAGACATAGCAAACAATACCTAGACCCTCATCGGGGATATTAGAAGGAAGAATTCTCACAGAATGTGGCTGTACGAGGGCAGGCTTCCCCAAATCTCTCAGACATACATCTTGTTTTGGTCCTTGAGTCATTCTGTCTGTGTCTCTTATAGATGAAACTCATCCCATTTTGCTTTCAAGGCTTCTGGTGTCCTTGCTTGTATCTCCTGCTCGTCTTGGAGCTCCTCCAGAGCAAGAGTTTTGTCCTCCTTACTTCAGTACCCTGAACTCATGCTTACCCCTAGGCCTGGCACAGTGGGCCCCATGAAATGTCAGTTGCGATGAGCAGCTGACTATTCAATAATCCCTCCTCAGGGTGGGATTGCTACTTTGGCGATGATCTGTGGGAATGTCTCAGAGCCACCTTCTGACCTTACAAACTGTTTCTGTTGTTTGCAGGCCTCTGGACTTCGTGGGCACTTTCAGTAACCGATGGTCCTATGGAATCGCCTTTGGGGCCACAGCTAATAAGGTCATGTTTTTGTTCTCAGAAGGCTACCAGCCCCTGCAGATCCCGCAGTGGGCCCAAGGTACTAGGGCTGCCTCATACCTGCTGGAAACTACATCATGGAAATTCTTGCTGTCAGAGACCACATGGCCCACGCTTTCTGGGATTAGGGGATAAACTCTGTGAATGGTCATGTTCTTGCCAGCGTGTTACTTGCCCAAGGTCAACACCTAGCCCAGAAATCTTCAAAGCTTCTTTGTGGGGCTTTCCCCCAGTTATATTCAGAGGTCCTTTAGATATGATGTATCAAGTCTTAGGAAGTATGTTCTTCCTCACCTACCTGCCAAAAGCTCTCCTGTGTCATAACGATGGCTGCCTTCTTTGCACCAATACCATACTGTCTTCATTATTATAGATTTATAATAAGTCTTGAAATCAGGTGGTATTAGTTCTTCAGATACATTTTTATTTCAAAGTTGTTTTTGTTATTCTAGATTCTTTGCATTTCTACATGAATTTTAGAATAAATTTGTCAATTTATACAAATAATGCTGAAATTGGGATTACATCATTTGCACATCTTTAGATCCGTTTTGGGAAAACTTATTTTAACAATCATGAGTCTTCTGACCCATAAACACAATATATATCGCCTTTTATTTAGAGTTCATTACTTTCTCTCAGCAATGTTTTGTAGTTTTCAGTGAATAGATCTTGCACATCTTCTGTCAGATTTATATCTGTTTTATATTTTTTATTGTTCATTGCTAATATATAGAAATTGATTTTTGTATGTTGATCTTATATTCTACAACCTTGCTAAACTTACTTAGTAGTTCCAGTAGCTTTTTCTGTAGATTGTATAGTATTTCGTACATACTACATCATATTATCTGTGAGTAAAGGCAGTAGTTTTATTCATTCTTTTCCAATATAGAGGTCTTTTATTTTATTGTTATTGTTTTTCTTAATTGCAGAGGGTGAAATTTCCAGTACAATGCTCAGTACAAGTGATCTGACCAAGCATCCTTCTCTTGTTCCTCATATTAGTGAGAAAGCTTGTTTTCTAAAAAACACTGATTTTGAACAATTATATTACTATGTGTCTAATTTTCTTGATGTTTCTCTTGATTGGGGTTTGTTGATCTCTAAATTTTGATTTTCCTCAAATTTAGAAAAATTTTGGGCATGATGAGGCGGCTCCTGGCTATAATCCCAGCACTTTGGGAGGCTGAGGCAGGAGGATTCTTGAGCCCAGAGTTTTGGGACCAGCCTGGGCAACATAGTGAGATCTCATCTCTACAATAATAAAAATAAAATTAGCTGGGCATGGTGGCACATGCCTGTATTCCCCGCTACTTGGAAAGCTGAGGCAGGAGGAGCACCTGAGCCTGGATTGTCAAAGCTGCAGTGAGCCATGATTGTGCCACTGCATTCCAGCCTGGGCTACAGAGCAAGACCCTGTAGGAAGGAAGGAAGGCCAGTCTGAGTGGCCTTCCTTCTGTAATCCCAGCACTTTGAGAGGCTGAGGTGGGTGGGTCACTTGAGGTCAGGAGTTCAAGACCAGCATGGCCAACATGGTGAAATGCCGTCTCTACTAAAAATACAAAAAAATTAGCCAGCTGTGGTGGCATGCACCTGTAGTTCCAGCTTCTTGGGAGGCTGAGGCAGGAGAATCACTTGAACCCAGGAGGCAGAGTTTGCAGTGAGCCCAGAGTTCACCACTGCTCTCCAGCCTGAGTGACAGAGCAAGTCTGTGTCTCAAAAAAAAAAAAAAAAAAAAAGGAAGGAGGGAAGGAAGGAGGGAAGGAAGGAAGGAAGGAAGGAGGGAAGGAGGGAAGGA